TTAGATTAGAAATTCTTGCAAGAGCAAGGCTTACCCCGACAGTGTTGACGTAATCGTGGCTAAGCTCGTTGAACAAGGAGAACATGAAAACAGGGGAGTCTTTGTAGGCTCGCAGGAAAGACAGGAGGTAGTCGAAGAAGATGATATGTTTGGGCGTGGGGCCGAGGCAGTAGGTTGCGCTAGTTTTGTACAAGAAGGAGGCTTCGACGGCGAGCCAGAAGGTCCGCATGTAATGCAAAGTCGGCTGCTCTTTGATCCCGCTGGCCAAATAGTCGAACATGTTGAACTCCGGTAGGTCCTCGGCGTATATCGTCGCTGCGCCAGCTTCCCGAAACTCGTTCCAGATGAACGGCCAGCCCTGCACATAATGCGTAAAGGCGGACTCATTGAAAATTGAAGAACATAATGAGGCTACTAGTTCCAAAGTGTGCAATGTCCATTTCGGTCGAAATTGAGTTAGGTGTGGATTCTTCATCAGTCATTGAAGGAGAATCGGGAAATACTTTAATTTTGTGCCAAAGCAGCCAAAATCCTTCTTAACTAGCAGTTTTAAAAAGGTAGGTCGCAGCAAGACGTAAACAGCACTCAAAACGGGTTTTTGCGTTTTTGTGACAAACCACTTTTATGGACATTGTGCACTTTGGAACTAGTAGCCTCATATATGTGATGATGCACCTAGGAAAGTATCGCTCTCATTGAGGAGAGGGGGGATATACAATCAACCCAGGGAAAGATTTTTTCTTAGAGGGAACTAGAGAGCAAATTTTTCTCTAAAGTTGTTTAATTTATTCAATTTAATAGAAGTGGGACCCTGGTAAAAATTAGCAGTAGAATCTGTGTTCCAAAATACCATAGACCTAAAGCCGGCTGTAAGATATCCAATAGCTTCTGCAGCCGACTGTACAATTTCTTATGGCCCTTTATAGCCGATGGCGACTAAGCAACAGCCAGGCGATAAAGTTACTAATTACGGATGCTAGGCCTATGTTAGTTTTTGGACTACCGCTCTCTTTTTGTGCCGTAATATCTTGATTTATTTTGCGAGGAAAGCTCCGTATGGATGCCTGCCATTCCTAATCTGTTAGCGCGCCTTCAATTTCGTAAGATACTGTGCAATACCTCTGGTGTGAAATAGTTGCTTTAAGCGCCGTGGCACGCTGCGGCGCGGCAGGCGGGCGGCCAGCGCGAAACGCGCATTGGCGCCTACAAACCTAACAGGGATACTTCAAGCGCTGCGCAATGCGTGAAGTTTCCCTGTTAGGTTTGGAGGCGCCAGTGCGTCGCCGCTCCGCTTTGTGTTATGCTCTAATATTTAATCTCGCGGAGTCAGCGTTTTTCAACTCATGATTTTCAAATGTTTGCACACTCTGTATGGATTATTCTCATTTTAATTGATGAAAAAAAAAATATGTTTTAAAGGAAAATATAATGTGTGTTTTGTAAATATTAAGGTAGTTCCGTATCAAACTTGATGATTTGCAAAGCGCACGAATTTATACACAATTTCGTATAGCCTTTTATAGCCAATGGCGATAAAGTGTAAAGCCCGGCGATAGGAACCATAGCCCGATTTTATACTTTTTTATAGCTTCGTATAGCCTGGTAATATGATTTGCTCCGCTTTCTACAGCCAGCTATACGATTTTCAATAGCCTTCTTTAGTCGGCTATAAGAACTCCTATGGTATTTTGAAACGCAGCTCCTATTGCCAATCTTTACCAGGGGAATGAATGAAAGGGCACGCTGGGAAACGATAACAAGTTGAATGAAGTCGTTTGCCTGTGAAGAGTATATGCGTCGCAGGCAAATAGTGAAATTAGGCATTTTGTCGAATGCCTAGGCAGATAGTCAAATTTAAACGGTTTAAAAATGTTTGTGAATTTATGGCGAAGAGGTCACGATTTTTCACTAGTTTTGGAAAAATAACTCATCAAACCTACGAACTCTTTTCGTCTCTTCTTTTTCAAATGCCTCTCATATTTTTAAATGTTTAAATTTCAAAAATTCTGTATTTTACGACATGCTGAAAATTCCAAGATTAGTGTCTCTTCAGGAGCTAAAAATTGTTTAAAGTACTATTGTGTGTGCAAATTTTTACTGAGAATTTTTTCTCGCAGGAGCAATGAATTATTTTGTCTGGAATTAGGAAAAGAATCAGAATTTCAATCTAAGTTAGAGTATTTGACTATTTGCCTAGGCATTTGAAAAAATGCCTGATTTTACTATTTGCCTGCGACGTATGTGCGGACCTGGACATTCAAAGCTCCTTCAAATTCTACGTATGCAACACGCACAGTGAGGGAGCTGGAATAGTTGTATTCCGGCATTGCGCCTCCCCACATCTGTGGAGGGAAGAGTGCGATTCTGCTGATTGTGATTGGGTGTGAGTGCTCACCCGGTAGGAATTGTGCGGGTACGGCGGGGACTCTCTGCCGGTGAGCATTGCCATGACGTTCGGCCAGGTATTCTCTCCAACTTTGTTGAAGCCCAACATGACGGTGGCGTTCATCCTCTCGGTCAAGAGCCGGTACGACTCGGAGAGCTGCCGCATGAAGTTGAGCCGAGACATGGAATCTATTCCGATCACCGATACGCCCAACTCCAAGTCATCCTGAAATTAACGTTATTTTGTGAAACAGTTGAATCCTTGAATGGAGTTCCCTAGGCTGCCGTGCTAAGGAAAAACGCCGTATGAACATTCGAGAGTTGCACACGGAGAGAAAAGCTTCGTGCGTGAGACCCAAAGTTGAGGTCATATGGATCTCTGAAGTTTCCGGATGACGTATCTAAGAACTTGCGGTCCAGCTGTCGAAGTTCGGGTTAGACATCTGAGGTACTTCGATATATACCGAAGGGTTCGTGTCACGCATCTGAGGTACTCCGGGTCATACCGAAGTGCCTCGATGTCTGACCCGAACTTCGGCAGCTGGACCTCAAGTTTTTAGATACGTCATCCGTTCTTTCGGATTAAGAGGAGAAGCACAGTGGGATGGAGAGACTTTAAATTTTTAGAGAGATGGTTTAAATTTTCCCAAAAAACCCTATTTTATTCTGTTGCGGGTCTGGTCCGTGTGTAAAATGTTTGGGAACCACTGGCGAATGGAACTTAAAGCATCTAGCCTCCATTCTCAGAACGCAAGTGGCTGCGTATTTTTAGAGCGAACGACGCGGCATGCAGAAAAAAGTTACGCATGAAAGTGTGCCGCAACACAGTGTTCAAACGTTTCTCCCTGGCTTACATTGCTTACATGCTTACATTGTTCACGATGTAGGCATACATTGTATGCTTCCGATCTAATTAATGCCTGCACGAATTTTTAACATGATTGTGTGACGGTCGCTATCAACGCAAAGACGAGCTGCACGGATTAAATTATCGGCTTGAGTTTTAAAACAAGATAGTCACGCCAATAATCATAGTTTTATGTCTTTAGTTTAGGGAAGAAAAGATTCCGAGATTTAAAGTTTCGGAAATTCACCGATTTAAATAGCATACTAAAATAATTCTCAAACAGCGAGATCTACACTAACAACTTCGCGCTCTGAGGCTTATTCAGCATGTTTTATGAACTCACTCCGCGTTAAAAACGCCTTCAATCGCTACTTCCGTGACTTACCATACACGGCAATACTTCAAACGGTGATGCAATTCACTCTCTGTCAAATAAAGAGTTGCGCGCTTAGGAATGCGACCTGAAGTTGCATTATTAGCTTTTTCCTTATAGAATGATCAGTTATATTTTACGTGCAAAGACATTTTATTTTTCTTTGGAAAACTATTCAAGGTAATTCTTGACAATTTACTTGTTTTTCACCCTATTAGCAGAATATTCCGTGTTTTCAAGCCACGAAGTTGGCTTTTTTCTCCTCGAAAAAATAAACTAGGAGCAGAAATTTTGATGGATATCAGTGGCGTGGCGTAAATAGCGAAATATCGATTGTTATGCCATTTAAACCTATGGAAATGGATCGATAAACAGGGTGTTCGCAGCGAACACCTCAATAATCGATTCTTTACCATAAGTTTAAGTGGCAAATCAATCGATGTATCGCAAAGCACGCCGAGCCACTGACGGATATACGTGTCTTTGTACTTTGACCATCAATATGAATAATTTCTTTTTGAAGTATAGGGAACTAGATTCTTCTCTAGGATTGTTCCGCGAGAGTTTTCTCACTTCACCGCTTACCTTGAAGCGGCGCACACTGGGGTGTCTCCTGGCGTAGGCATGGAAATTCCTGTAGACGGGTATCCTGGTGAGTCTGTGATCGCACTCGACATAGATGAAGTCCTCGGTGGGGATGTGGGTGTCTGTGAGGGGCACCTTCTCGCCGTAGATGACGTTGAAGTCATCCTCGGGAGCTCGGCTGATCTCCTGATAGTAACAGTCCAAACTCGATGCATCCTCATCGTAGCCCAGAAGCTGCAGGGCCGTCCGGTTGAAACCTAGTCGACCGTCCCTGTCGATCTGCGTTAGGACCAAGTTCCGCTGCGGGCACCTGAATTCAAGGGAAGGAGGAATTATTGGAATACTGTGTCTATGACTATGTTTATGTCTATGTATAATGTCTGTATATGCGTTACAATTTGTAGCGCACGGGGACATGGATGGACAATTTTCCGAGGAATTAAGATCCTAAGGAAAAAATAAATGACATAACAATCGATAAATCGCAATTCACGCCACGCCATGATATCAATGGCTATACTGGAAAAAAAAACACATTGGATCTAGAGTCCAGACTCTTTAAAACATCGACAAGAAAAAATACTCTTGATTCAATCGGATTTTTGCTTAAAAATCAAGAACCAAGCCTCTTAATTTGAGCGGATTTCCTTTTGATTGAAGCAAAAATCTGATTGAATCAAAGAGTATTTTTTCTTGTCAATGTTTTCAAGAGTCTGGACTCTAGATCCGATGTGTTTTTTTTCCAGTGTGCATTGCGAAATCGCGTACCTCCGTTGCAGGGTTTCAATATGTCCGCTTATATTTTATTTTTTCGAGGAGAAATAAGGCAACTTTATAGCTTGAGATTTTTACAAGATATCTGCTACTCGAGAGGAAAAATCAAGGAAGTTTTCAAGAAATTAAGTTGACAAGTTTCAATAAAGTATGACAGGAAGTCTGCGACGTCGAAAACGGAGATACGCAGTTTTGCACTTAGCCTTCGATATGTTTTACTCATGTTCATGAGGTAATATGGACGTATTCAAATCAAAGAAAGTATATCCATTCTGACAGGAGCCCGGATATCTATGAGAAGATATGCACGACTGGGCTCATGTCATATTGACTACAGATAATTCTATGGACTAACCTTACGGGTGGAGCCACACTTATTAAGTGAAGGATGGACTTCTCGAACGGATGTAAAATTGGAAATCGGCAGGTTACGCTTTCCTCCGGTGATTCGGTGCCCTGAAAAACCAATAAATGTTTGGAGAAAAGGCCACGGGAACTTACTTAAGGCTATCAAATTTTTGGAAAAAATTAAAATCACAAGCCTCCTTTGAATCATTTGATACTTGCTGAGTCCACGCTGAATAAGTTTAAGCACTTTTAGACTGCGAAGAAGATCAGGTGACGTCAGTTTAGCATTGAGAGTGAGTGCAAGAATCAAAATGGCGGATTGTCTGTCACAGTCTAAAAAATGCGTAAACTTATTCGGCATGGACCCTGATCATCAATATTCTAAAAGACAACGATTCTCTCCTTCTTATCTACACTGCCATATTGAGGAAAAACATTGTAAGAGCCTATATGAGTTGCCAAATTTCCTCTGATAAAATATTCATATTTCATTTTTGAAGAAAGTCACGAATATATTTTCTTGGAATTTTTAAATACTTTAAAAATCAAATCGCGACTGGATTTTCTCTGAAAGTTGGGAAAAAAGTATCCAAAAGTTTTCCTTGCCACTGAAGAGAAGTTTTTTACCTATTTAACCTGACATCAAAATAATATAATAACTTCTTGTAAAACCGCCTCTCCTGCCCCCTCGTTCCTTCATGAGAAGATTTTATAGGCTGGTTTTTGTTTACTAACCTCGTAATACACCAGTCTTTCTAGTCTTGGACGGAATATTTCTTTCTGGACGTGGTATATTGTCACGATTGCTGAAACAAAGAAACAAATACCAAAATTCAGTACTTTTGAGGTGAGTTCTGCAACAACTTAAAGTACATTTGGAGCGCTGAGATACATTCGCGTGCAACATTATCATCGGAAACTGAAAACCAACATTTTTCAATCGCTGCATCGTCGATTTTTTCGCTGTAATGTACTCTGTTACTCTGCCGCGCTGTGGAAAAATGCCGTATGAGCATATCACGGTTATCAAATTTATTTAGATACAGTGAATATCGGATATCGTCACCTGCCAGGCAAAGTATCACAAGCGCCATGCGACGTTTAAAAATTTCCGCCGCCATTATATTTTTTACAGAGAAATTGTTCAACGAAGCTGTCCGAAAATTTCACCGAATTTTCTTTGTGCTGCCGATAAAATTTAGTGAAATTTTCAAACAGATTCAACCAACAATTTCTCAGTAAAAAAATAAAATGGCGGCGGAAATTTTTAAACGTCGCATGGCGCTTGTGATACTTTGCCTGGAAGGTGACGATATAACGACATCGGTTATAACGACATATTGGGCATAACGACGTAAACTGGTCGGTCCCGGCTGAAATCCCATCCATTCAATGTATTAACTTATCGGTTATTGTATTTGTATTTTTTGGGGGAAGTTATGGATATTTTTAATGAGATGTTTTATGGATTAGTAAAAATTGCCTTTTTAAAATTTACGAGATTTTTAAAGTTAAGTTTTTTCGTTTTTTTGTTTAACAGTCGTCACCAAAGGACTTTGGAAGATTTTAACCTATTGACGGATCCAGCAACTTGGCAACGCTGCTTTTCTCCATTTAAACCAATGTGGAAATCTATCGATTCTTAGAGGGACCAGGTGCTCCGCCAAGAATATATTGTTTAACATAGGTTTAAATGGAGGAAATCCGGTGTTGCCAAATTTCTGGATCCGCCTTTGTTTTAACCGGAATCAACTTACCTGCACTGGACGTTGCCTAATTTTATTTGATATTTTATTTTGGAAAAAAAAAAATACTCAGAAACTTAAAAATGTGTAAGGATATGCTTCATAATCCTAGTTCGAGGGCGTTAAAGAGGTCAATTTTCTTGTTAAAACTTCACGAGAAAAAATCAGGAAATGTAAAATGGCGCTGACTGATTCCGTGTCCTAAAATGAACTTACACCCCTCTGGCTGAAGATTTTACTTACGACGGAATAGGTGCTGACATGACGCGGCGACGACGCGACGTAAACTCTTACGTTTCACGAACGTAAGCGGTTAACGCGTTATTAACGCGTGGCCCGAAGAATGCGAAAATGCCGAGCCGGTTTGTATGCATGAACGCTTTGATGGCGCATAATGATATAATTAGAGCAACGCAGTCTAAGTAAGAAATGTAACCTGCTGCCGGGTACACTGCGGTTGCCATGTTGGGGAAAAAATTAGTTATTTCAGTGAAAGAGAATATATGAATATTAACCACCCAGAGCGCGGGACCAAGTTCATAGTCGTTCTTCAACCAGCCTTTTCCTTATAAAGTCCCGTACCTATGGTTTAAAGTAAGGTTAAGGAAGGTCTACAAGAAGGCCTTGATTCCGACCGATTTTCAAAAAGGCGTAGGCGTGTGGGACTACCATAAAATTTGCAAAATCAGCTATTTTTTTTTTCGATTTATCACTGGGAAAAAAAACACAGTGGATCTAGAGTCCAGACTCTTAAAATACATTAACAAGAAAAAATACTCTTGATTAAATCGGATTTTTGCTTAAATCAAGAACCAAGTCTCTTAATTTGAGCGGATTTCCTTTTGATTTAAGCAAAAACCTGATTGAATCAAGAGTATTTTTTCTTGTCAATGTTTTCAAGAGTCTGAACTCTAGATTCAATGTGTTTTGTTTGTTTTTTTTTTTCAGTGATGGTATATTTTGCAGTGGGATCTTTTTGAGTAAACTTCAGGGGTGTAACTTTGGAAATGGATCCTAGTATGCGATCAGAATGATTTGGCATTGCAAAAAGTACAAAATATGGATCGAAAAATTTCTACGATTTTGACGAGTTTTTTAGTTGGTGCGATCCTACCCTAAAATTGACAAAATTCGCAGTACATTTTCTTTGGTATTTTGTACTTTTTGTACGTCGTAAATCATTGTCTTCCGTTTTAAGGAGCGATTTCCAAAGTTATACTCTAGAATTTTACTCAACTTACGACTATGAATAAAGCCATAAACTTACAGCTTATGGCGATCACCGACGAAGTGTTTCTCTTCCTTCGCGTGTGTGCATTTTGAAATTTTCTGCATGCATCAACGGATGCACCGCGCAACAACTTACGGAGTGAGATTGAGAACCTCATATTTTTGCTCCGTGGATTCTAGAGGAATGGGAAAGTTGATTGCTAGAATCCATCGATATAGAGGATGTCTGTGGCGGTGAAAAGTATATGAATTACTCGGCGATAGTGGAATAAGTACCATTGATAAGTTCAAATACTCTGTATGGCTTTCTTGCTGGTGGAGCGGCTATGCTAGCCCAAGAAAAGGATGCGCGGGGGACCAGCTCCGGTCTTCGCTCAGAAAATACAGGTATAAAATTAATTTCATAAAAACCTGGAGCGTTGTACATTTTTTAATTTCTCATGACTTCGGTGAACACGATTCGCCAAAATTAGCGTAAATAATGATTGATTTAAATGAATAAATCCCGAAAACCACTCGCAGGTCCCGATTCTCCCATAAGCCGCCGTGTTGAAAAATGCCGAACGGTTCTCGGATGGTTCCCACTTCCCGGCGAACAAGGGGCTCGGAATGGCCCGTTCATGGATTGACTTCATACATTGCGACTCTATTGTGCTCTATGGTTTTGTCGGGCAGTCCTGCAGGCCGACTATTGAAACGTATAGACAAAGCTATAGNGATGGGGGGGGGGAGGGGGTCTGCTGTGCCCGTTCCTCGGCGCAGCGGGTTCCGTCCGCTGAGGGCAGCGAGCGAGATGCGTTAATCATTAATTACTCATTATCTAATGTGTGCAGTGGGCACTGGAGTTGGACTGGATGCGCGATCCACTCAATTATTCATCGGCTACGAAGCCACGGAGGGAGGCGAATATGAGTTATGACGCGTGCGCACCTCGATCTGGAGCACGCGAGTCTTCCGTCCCGACGCTGATCAACACGACGGCACTGTGCTCTCCGACTGCGATTGCAGGGGGATGTAAACACTAGGGTGGCTGAGAGAAACACTCATCTAGGGTTGGAGGGGTAGGATGAGAAATCCACTTTTCCGGAAAATCGATTTCGGTCTAAAATCGATTGAAGTCAAACCAATTCAGGCGTAACACTCGATTTTTAAATATCGATTTCTTTTTTATTTATTATTTTTTTTTTTTTTGTCTCGACTCCCTCCTTATGAGCCATAAATTTAACGATGGAATATTACGAGGATAAGATATGACTTATGAAAACTACCAAACATTCTCAAAAATTACAAAATTGCATAGAGTTTAGTAAAAGTAGATCAGTCAATCAATTGGGGTTCAATTTGGACGATTTTTCAGGTAAAAATCTATCTTTTGGTCGAATTATTTCTTTATCCCCATCCCTTCACTCAATTTATTGTAACTTCTTTAGAGCTGAATTTGTGATGTTTCGTTTCGGAGCTCCTCTGTCATTTCGTGAAAGAGTATTTTTATACGCATCCAGGAATTACTTGTTTTTTTCAAATTTTTATGAGCGGATAGTTTGAATTTATTATGCATCGAAAAATGTTAGTATCTCAGATTGGGTTACTCTCAATACAGGTCCTCACAGGAATCATGCTCTGCGTTAAATTTTGATGCAAAAACATGTATCATAATGCTTGAATTTGCACTTTGTCTAGAGGTCCATAATTAGGAGACCGAATGAGCGAATGAAGTGTAGCCGCAGGCTTTTGGAAAACATGAAATATTAATTAAAGGCATTGGAGTCCATCCATAACGGGGTCCCGGCGTCATCTCCCGCTGGTTTTGCCACAATCTTTAATTTTCGGGATGAATATGCTTTGATTAGTTTCATTGACCTTATACCAAGGACTGAGGACCCTGTCGGGAAATTTAATACACGCAGTGAGCAAGTAGTTGGTAACTTCGTCCAATCTATCTATAAGCCTCTAAACGCCAAAAATTTCGAAAACAACGTCAAATTCGGTTGTCGGAATTAAGCTTTAAGCCGTAGCTAATAATACGTCTTATGGAAGTTGTTTTCTAAAGTTCATTTTTGACATTTAATGGAGGGATTGATGCAAAAAATATTACACATTGAAGAATTAAGAGATTGATGATACTCAACAAAACCTGTCTCAAAGTGAACTTCGCAAAATGTTTGACTTCATAAAATCGATATCACGATATCAACCCGCCAAAATTAGTTTTGACTTTTCATGACGTATAACACTCGATGTAATTTTTCACAATTATATTCAATTTTCCTCAATTTCAATTTTTTCGGTTTATTCGTGAGCACTAGGCTTCACTCGTGTAACTATGAGCCTTGAAAGTCTGAATACTGAGTTTTAAACATTTATTTTGTATCTATGATTAATTCAGCCAATTGTCTGACAATTGCTGCGCTTATCCAACACCGAACTATCGTTCTTTTTTTCATACGTTTTTTCATACCTCGCATAATTGTATGCGCACCGAAGCGGTAGCATTACTGAGCGAAGATATCGCTGAAAAAAAACCCTTATCGACAATGATTCTGACTTAAAATCACATGTTTGATTTGAAGACACTGTGAGAAAAAGAAGAGGGTCGTTCGCCACTATGTGCCCGGTTTATTTAATAGGTCAAGCGTGTTACTTTTTATGACTTGATGGCTAATTTAAAAGTATTAAACTGGTCCATGAAAACAAAGAGAAGGAGAAAAAAAGCGACTTTTGCTACCAACACAAAATTCACGAGCTACCGTTAGCAAGAACTGCACAAATCCGTCGTGTCATGACCAGCTTAGGTTTGGTTGGGTCATACCACTATTTCGACTCTTAGGAGCTCGGGTGGCATACCTCGTAAAATTGAAGGCGCACCAATGCGGTAGCGCTGCTGAGCGCAGATTTCGCTGCAAAAACCCCTTATCAACAATGGAGAATTTGCATGCAAATGTTTTATTGCTTTACTAAGAGTGCTCAAAGAGCTGAATTCACAGTATTTTTCATTTTTTTTCTGATATGGAAATTAGTATTAAAATAGATCCAAAAATGAGAATAAACGCACCACCTAGTGACGTTGAGGGCATTTCCCATTTAAACGCATGAATTCCAGCAAACTAAATCATTCTGTCTCATCCTCTCCAATAATTTATGAACCACGGCTAATGGCTTTAGTAGTTTCCACTAGACACGAAATGCATCAAATTTCAAACACCTGCAAATTCTCCATTTAGACTTGAACTCACAATTTTGATTTGAGGAAGCCGCGAGTAAAGAAAGGCGTCATCCCCCAAGGAAGCGATGTACCGTTTGGCAGCAGTGGTTATTTATGATGATACAATTTGTACAAGGAGTAATAAAAGGAAACGCAGACACGTGAAGCTGCGAAAGCTCTAGTAATCTGTATCATCAACGGATACTGATCGAGGATCACACTTCGAGTCTCTTCAATTTAGCTGTTGCCGGGCTGTTCCCTGCATAGCTTTGCATTATCGTTGCCTCTCTGTCTAAAAGGCGTATCTCGATTGCCGCATGAGCCCCAAAAAGCATGGATTTATAGGTGAAACTGGGCTTAAGTGCAAATTGAGATAAGCCCTTTCGTCAGATGAACATATTTTTGCTGAAAGGAACTATGTGCATAAGGATTGCGTGTAACATAGTTCCTTTTAGCATAAATACGTCCAGATAGGCGATGTTAGATGCACTGCACATGGTGAGAAAGCTGTTATTAACGAGACGAAACTAAACAATACATGCGCAGGTGTGTGTTCCTCAAGCCTAGCTGGGAAGATTTCAGCCGGAAAATTTTAGGCATATTCAATGGCCGAAGTTTGAAACCACGTATCTCCGTTTGCGACGGTTGACTTCCGGTTGTATTTTGTTTTTTCTTTGTAAATCTAGTAAACGTGATTACTTGAAAACTACCTCCATTTTTCTTCTATATCAGCAGAATATTCTGTTTAATTATTAAGCTATACATAGTTGGATTGTTCCTTTTTAAGAACGTAAAAAAGGAGCTAAGATTTTGAAACAGCACAATAAAGATTCGTAGTTTCATTCTTTTGCTATCGATATCCCGATTCAACCCGTTATGTCGATGCGATGTTTCATGGTTGCTTATGAATACCTACATGAGCCATCAGGTCGTAAGTAGCATCGCATCAGTGATTTGGACGTATTTATGCTAAAAGGAACTATGTGCATAAGGTTTGCGTATGACATAGTTCCTTTTAGCATAAATACGTCCATATAAGGTCCATTAGGTCTTATGTCATGCTAGATAAAAACGCCGTATGGGTATTCAAACGTTGCCAAGTTTCCTTCTGGAATACATTTATTTTTGTAAAAAGTTATGGATTTTTCCTCAAGATTTTAAGAGTTTTTAGGGTAAATTAAGAGCAATATTATCTAAAATATTTGGAAAAAAAAAAAAAAAACATTTATAAATTTCCCCGAAAATTCGTCATTTGCGAAGGAAATTTGGCAACTTCTGAAAGCTGATGCGCCATTCTTCCTTAGCGTGGCAGTCTTGTCCATGTATACAAAGTGCCTGTTACTTCGGAGGAATACATTATGGCTGAGTTATGGTTTATTCCACCGGGAGCACAGAAAAGGGGCGAAAAACGATGCGCAGCTGTTGCAACCCCTTGCGCCATTTTTGGTCTAACTCTTATCCTTCGTATTATTGTTACCCCACTAAAGGGGTCTCAGACTGAGAGGAAAAGCTCAGCTTCAGATATTGAACGTAGCACCGAACTTTTTCGGTTCTGGTAACTGGAGTTTTCGGTTATTGGAACTAACTGTTGGTCAGTTCCAAGCCAGGACCAAAGTTCAGTTTTTGTACCCAAAAACTTCGATTACTTCAGCTGAAAAATTGATATATTCTGGACCTAACTTTTTCCTCAGTGTGCAAGAGTCCCGGTGCCCCTCTTCCATCATAGGCACGGCTGTAGAGAAATTTCTGGGAGTGGCCCGGCTCCCATTTTTCCAAGAGGGGTGGATTTTCCGGCACAAGGGAAAATCTTGTAGGGTTATTTTCTCTAGGAAATTCTAGACAATGACCACCCTTACATGCTTTTTCAGAGCATTTGAGTTCATAGGTTGGCTGCCATTTTTGGGTCCTAAAAGCTCTATGACCACCTCCAAAATTACAGACATTTCTGCACTGTAGATGTAGGTACTCTATACACCACAATTGAGGGGCTTTGAGGACAAGGCACATAAGTGTAATTCTTGCTATTTCGAGAAATACATGCATGCTTGAAGTTTCGAAATTACATGGATCCTTGCGGCGGACAAAAAGTTCAAACTGATGTTTTCATGCTTAGAAACTGGAATTTGAGAGCGAATTTTTCACAGAATATCGACGGTGAAACTACCAAACCACGTATCTCGGTTTGCGACGTCGCAGACTTCCTGCCATACTTTATTTTTTAAATGAAAAACTACTTAACGTCCAGTCTTGAAAATTTCTGTGATTTTTCCTCTTCGTGCGGAGAAAATTCTGTGAAAATTTCAAGGAACGATGTTGATTTGGTCTACTTCAAAAAAATAAAATGTGAGCGTAGATTTTTAAACACCGCAAACGAGATACGTGGTTTGGTAGTTTCACCGTCGATATGCATCAAGACTAGTTTTTCTTGAAATATTTAATTTCTCAATTTTTTTCAAAAACTACACTTATGCACCTTGTCCTCCAAGCCCCTCAGCTCCACCGTCGCAATTTCCTCTCAAAAGCTGGCAACGGAACTTTCACTCATCCTCGCGGAGATTCCACGATCGGCAGACATCCCGACGTCCATCCGACGTCCGGCAGCGGAGCGGGTATAAAACCCGGCGACCATCTCGCTCTCCCCGCAGTCCGTTACCTCCTCACCAGCACAAAGCAACCACGATCCCCCATTCCGCGATGTTCCGTCCGTGTGTCTTCCTCTTAGCGTGTTCGCTGACCCTCGCCCTGGTGGCCGGGCAGTACTTCGGCGACGACGGTGGCGACGGGGGCCACCACGAGGACCACCACTACCACCACGAGCCGGCCCACTACGAGTTCCACTACGCCGTCCACGACAAGCACACCGGCGACATCAAGCACCAGCACGAGTCCCGGCACGGCGACACCGTCCACGGCGAGTACTCCCTCGTCGAGCCAGACGGACACATCAGGACCGTCAAGTACAACGCGGACCACAAGACCGGCTTCCACGCCCATGTTTCCCGCAAGGAATACCACTGATAGGGCGCCGGTGCCGTGCGGTAAGTCTATTTTTGGTTTTGAAGGAGGTGGGGGTGATGCAAAAATGAGAGGCTTGGAGGACCAGCACTGGGGGAAAAAACACATTGGATCTGAAGTCCAGACTCTAGAAAACATTGACAAGAAAAAATACTCTTGATTCAATCGGATTTTTGCTTGAATCAAAACGAAATCCGCTTAAATTAAGAGGCTTATTGGTTCTTGATTTAAGCTAGATTCTAATTGAATCAAGCGTACTTTTTCTTGTCGATGTTTTTAAGAGTCTGGACTCTAGATCCAATGTGTTCTTTTTTTTTTCCAGTGAGGCGCATATGTGCAGTTTTTGCTATTTTAAGAAATACGTTTCAAATTTACATGGAGTCTCATGGCGGAAAGGAAGTTTGAACTAGCTTGTTGATGTTTTAAAGTTGGATTTAAGTTGTGAATTTTTCACAGAATATTTTCTCAAACTAGTTTTACCTGAGATCATGGATATCTCAATTTTTTCAAAAACTGAACTAATGCGCCTTGTCCTCCAAGCCCCTCAAATGATTTTCATTTTGCGATAGGCACTGCAGTAAAATTCCATAATAAATAATGGATTTTTTTTTCTCTCGTATTTTGCATAATTAGCAGTGGCAAATCTTTTTAATCTCTCAAAAATATCTATTTCCAACGTTGTATTCTCGCGGTTTTTTTCGGAGCTCGTAAAAATCGTCCCTCTGATGAAGGGATACAAAAGACTCTCTTTTACCTCCTCCCTCCAATGACAGTGTAAACCAGATGGCGCTTGTCTATACAAATAGGCTTTAGTTCCAGTTGGTATAAATACGTCTATATTAATTGAATGAGGTTAAAGGGAGCTTTCTGCATACCTTCACCAAACAGACAATTTTTATGAACCCCGAATAAAATTTAATAATATAACTGTGGTTATAAATCCTGTCAAGGGATTACAATGATTTCCCGCTGCACGTTCTGCAAGTTGCGAAGGAAAAAATCCTAGCGTACGTCTGAACCTACCTCAATCTTTGCAAAATCCTCAATATTCTTTCCTCTGAATTTTGTGATTTTTCCAGTGGCAAATCAGTAAAGACCCATTGCAAAAATCTATTCTTTAAGTCATACTTTTTAATGTTTACATTGAAAAAAACTGCCCTCTTTCATAATCCGCTTCAAAAGCCTCCTCAAATCTCCCTCAGTCACGATGAAAATATGCATGGAATATTTTCGAGGCAAGAAGTTGTTTCTGGAACAACGATGAATACTGAGTCTATAGTGAAACTGCAGAAATGTGTGTCTTGCTTCAAGGGGTTGCAAACCTCTTGTCATACTTCATTTTATGCATGGGAAAGGAAAAGCTATTAAACGTCTTTATTTAAAACTTATTTAGTGATTTTTCTCTCAATGAAAAGAATACATCAAGAAAATTTTCAAAACTCTCGACAATTATAGTCCTAGAAGTTAGTTAAGAACGAATTATAGGAGGTGAAATACTTTGATGCTGAAGATGTATTTTATATACTTAAATATATTTGTACTACACTGCACTACATCTTCATCGTTGCAGGGCCGGATTTAGGGGGCGGCAATTTTGCAATTTTTTGAAATATATGTATAAGAAAAATCGGATTCGGAAAACGAGAAGAGGCGAGAAAATCTCTCATCTCCTGAGAGTATAGTAATTTCTAATTTTGTCGTATTTTGGTGATATAAGAGACAGCATCTTTAATTAGTCGAGTTAAGAGAGAAACCAAACACGCAACTTGTCCTGGAGCGGCGCGGTGCAGAGAGCAATGATGACGAGGACTTGAGATGAAAAGGAGAAACCCTCGCCTCGGCGCGGCAG